TATATTATACATTTTATTATTATTGTATATAAAATATTTATCACTGAAAGCGTTAGCTAGAAGTCCCTTCCAAACTTTATTGCTGGGATTTGAGACACGCTTTTTGACTATTTATGATCAACGGTTTTAACGGTATCGTTTCGCGTTTTAAACGGGAAATGAAACTGTTGGATCGTAAAACTTCTGATTTGGTTGTTTTTTTAAAAAACGAAAACAATTATTATGTGCTGGATTTAAGAAAAAAAAAATGACAATTTAGTGCTGGATTATTTTTATTTTTCAGAAAAGACAGAAATTATACTTGCACTTTAAAATAAAAATTTAAATGGCTCTAAAAATCTGAACCACAAAACCAGAAATCTAGTGTACAAAAGGAGTTATTTCAGCCCAAACCTTGAAAATTTGAAATCTGAACGGAAACCTTAACGGAAGGCGATGCCACCCCCCCCTCCCCCCCACGCATTAGAAATCTGAACGAAAACCTTCACGGAAATTAATATCAATTTTGAGGCGGGTGAGGCTTCGCCCCCCCCTCCCCCCACCCCCTCCAAATTTTACGAATCAGGCGTGTGCCCATATACGCAGTTGTGTCGTGAGAAAGAAGCTTTGCTGCCGATGTCCAAGTATGTACATGAATCTTCACTGTCGACTCCAGATCCGGTTTAAACTCGTTACACATCCACCTTAGGAAAAGCTAGTTTTATTCGTAGACAAAACCAAGTTTACGGATGCCGGCAATAGGTGATCTGAGAGGGGACGATTAACGTTAAGAATTTTAACGACTCGCGTGGACGGTTATTAGAATTTAACGATTAACGTCAACCCCCCCCACCCCACCCCCCCCAGTTCATTACGCGTATTCAATTGTGTCGGTTAAATTTTACGAATCCGCCGGGGACGATTAACGGTTATAATTTAACGATTAACGCACAGAAATAATTTTAATTCAACAATAAACGTAAATACGGATAGAATTTAAATCCAGGACCGAGCCGTAAACGGCCTTTGCAAATTTTGGAAAATCACAATATTAAGTTTAGAGAATGTCCAATTATCGGACAAACTGTTTAAAACACGATGAAATCTGACAGGGATTATTATACCCCCAGATGGCATATATCATTGCTCGATGCTAGAAGGTGATAGATACCTTTTGCGAACGCTACTCACCACTTCATCTTACCAGTTTATCGTAATAGCGTAGTGGGAATGAATGCTAATCACCTATATGGATTCTATGTATGCTTATACCTTCCCACATTATAGCTTATAGGGAAATTGGATACACGGTTAAGCTTGAGCATTCATAATCATGTGACTTGGTATCACCCCGATAAAAATACACTAAATAATAACTTCAATACAATCAATACAATCTGACATCTCATAGATCATATAACTATCACAAGTTTCTGAAAAAATGTGCAAAATTCAAGTAAACTTCGAAAACTGACTAAATATAACCAGAAGTATCCACTAATGAAAAATAGTCCATTTGTGTCGTGTTGACTCGAGTGTAGTAGTGGCGACTTGAGTATACTCGTCAAAACTCGCGAAAACTCGCGAAAAATCGCGAACTTCAGCGGAAGAATACAACAACTATCTGCAGGTTAGAAAATCCCCATCGTGTACAGTACCATTTTGGGGTGCTCTTTGGACCTACGGTGGAGAATTTCGAAATTTTAACTCTATCAGCAGTTATTTGGCACCGAAGTTTCGCAATTTACCGCGAAATCGCGCGAAATCCTTGTTTTCACAACCAAATGACGGCCGATAGAGTTGAAATTTCAAAATTTCCTTATCAAAATTTCCTACCGCAGATCCAAAGGGCTCCCAAATATAATACTTCACACGGTGGGGATTATCCTCATATTGCTTAGGGTCTCTGTAATCCTCCGCTGAAGTCGTGATTTTCGCGATTTTTGCAACTTTGCGCGACTATTTACACTTAAGTCCACAAGAGTGAACTGGACTATCATTAATGGGTACTTCTGGGTATATTCAGTCGATTTGCGAGATTCTATTGAATATTGCGTACGTTCTGCACATTGTTGTGTCAATTTTGATCCCTGAGCTGTTAATTTGTATATGTACTACACCAAACGATAAAACATACATGCGGCACAGATTATAAAAGTCTTTGTGATTCATAGTATTTCTAGTTGTTATCAGGGTGTGGCAGATCTACCAGCGATTGCACATTTGTGAGAACGTATTGGATTACCTCACCAAACTTCCAATTTTGTTTAGTAGAGCGCTTGTATATATACTGCAACACTATGTAAGGCAATACTTGCTCGCAATGTAATACAAATTGGAGTCAAAACGTATTACTCTGTTTATGAAGAACACACTGACTTCGATCAATATTTGGTTTTGTAACGGAAGTATCAGTGAATACTTTCCTCAATTCCGAGACATGTGGTAATATAAATCCTGTAAAGCTTAACTGTGTAAACAAAATCACTATAAATATATTCCAACGCATAAGCCTACTAAATTGATCATATCCAGAGTTGTTAACATCCATTCGCACTACGCTATTGCGATGAAATGGTAGCCAATTTCTGTATGGTATCTGTACAACTAACTGAGATCGAGCAATGGTATCTGCCATCTTGAATCATAGATCCCGTCACAATTTATCGTGTTCATGGAATTTTTTTGGTCTGATGTTTATTGGACATTCTTTGAATTGTGTTTTTGTTGTTGTTGGAAATTTAAGAAGTTTACGGCTCGCCCCCGGAAAGATTAACCCTAATTTTTCCCGATCTAATTCATAGCCTTCTGAAAATTAAACAGAAGGCTATGTCCAATTTCATACTTCTCTTTTACTAACGTACTCCACCCATCCGTTTCTTTCCTCCCTGTCTACGCTTTCAAGTCCCCGTGTCGGAGACATGTTTTATACATTGATTATATAATACAAAACAACATTATTTTTCACATCACTTTTTGCTGTATATATTTTTTAATACAATAGAAGACAAAAGTATATAAATATACAGTATTTACAAACAAAAAAACTTGATTCTCGACTTCGAGTCCTCGAGTCCTCGACTCACTGCTATTTATTTATTTAACCTCAAAACGGTTTCCGGTTGACCGTTTATTTTATAGATATGTATGTAAAAAAACAAATTGTTTTTAAAAAGAAACAAAACTTTTACGGTTATCTTTTTATTATAATGAAAGATATAATAAGCCTCATTACAGTATGTACTTTGCTATGGGGTGCAGTTTCTAGGTGCTATAGTTTGTCCTATATCAAATACACCAAATCTCGAAGTTGGCGGGTTGAGGTCAGTCTGACAGATTCTATTTTAACACTTGCCCATTTCGTTTCAAATGGGTCGAAATCTGAAGTGCAATATACTTTTTGGAATTTCGTTTGCAAATTTGCCCTCAATAAAAGGTTAACTGTATATTTAAAAAAAATCATACATATTTAAATTAAAAAACAAGTCTGGGGCGCCTCAAATGCAACAAACAAAAAGCATGACAGAGTCGACTGATAGACTGACAGTTTTTACCCTTTTTGCTTTTTTCATCTATATGTCCAGTTCAACCAGTTGTACTGCTGTTGGTCCAGAGTTAGACTACTAGAGTCCAAACTTTAGACTAGTAGAGTCCGCTGTAAAAATATGTGAAGGTGTCAAAGATGTATGTAGACTGTACACTGAGACCGGGTCTTAACTAAAATAGTTTTTAACGTTATAGGCGAGCGACATAGCTTGTCAGCCAATAGTATGCTCGATTAAACTTTAAAAAAAATTGATTTCGTGTCCCACTTTTGAAAACTCTAGAGACAAAATTTGTCTCTTGTAATAGTTGATTTCGTTATAGTTTAGTTATAGTCGGAATCTTGACGTAAACTTCAAAAATTACCAAGAAAATGTAAAATACCGTCGATATCCCCATCAATCTGATTGGATACACGAAAGCCCGCACAAAATGTTCGATTGGATGCAAGTATGTTTGCTACAAAGAAGCGGTTTAACGGTCGGGCGGTTACGATGCCTCTTTTGAATGCTGCTGTTAATAACAGTGTATATTTCTTGTATGCTTGATAATTATGTAATAGACCTAGCTAAACGCAGCAATATAATAGAACGTCTCTCTTCCGTGTGATATACTTTACTTCAAGTTGATTGGGGTGACAAGAAGTCACCAACTACCGCATCAAAGCAGACTTTAGTGACTGTACTGCTACTCAACGATAATGCCCGAGAAGAGATGGAATGGTTTCTGCACTGGCCATATATTCCTTTAGAATATGATGGCAGAACACTGAAAGACAAGGCGTCAAGTAACAATAAAACAGCCGTGAAGGTAGCCAAAGAGAACAGTAAAGCCGGAGCCAAGCGAACGTCAAGTGTTGTCTGCAGGATGATGTGCATTATAACCGATGACCTTCATAAAAATGGTGTGGTATGCACAGCGCTGGCAAGGGGGCCGGGGAAGACTCGACAACGGACATAATCGGAAACTAAGGTAGATATCTGATACATACCTTCTTGTTGACTACTCTTAGTACTCTCTAGAGTGTACAAAAGACCCTAAACAATTGGTTGGGTCTCACTAATGAACATCCAGTCCTGTCATATGGTCCGAAGAGTCCAAGTGTTACAAATTAAGTCGGAATCTCGGACGGTCTAATTTATATCCGGATTTAGCTAATCAGGAACGCTTCGTTATTTTCTTCCCGATTTTTCCTCTTGGTACATACCCCGATTTTGTTGATGATTTTGACAAAATCCTAGGCCTGGATTTTGTCAAAGCACATAAATAGCCTGCTGAAAATTAAACACAAAAAAGCGATAAAAATCCCACTTCTCAAAAAGTGAGACGGATTTTGTTGCCGATCCGGGCGTTTAAAAAAAATTCTTAAAAAAAAACAAATTCACAAACAAATTATACACAACAAGAAGAAGGTTATCAGACATATTTATGACTTTTGTGTATATTGATTTTTAAAAAATAATAATATATATATATATAGATTATGACTGTACAGTGTAAAGCAAACATTTATATAATTTAGAAGGCTATTCATTCTATGTATTGTGGGATTGCGCCATATCCTTTCATTTTTTTTTTCTCTTTTTAAAAACACGATTGAAAACAATCCTCCCATATTTACGTCATACAAGATACAAGTTCCAAATAAAATTTTATTAAATGTACTCGAGCTCTAAAAATGCATACACTATTCGCGCAGGAGCTTTGGAAGTCACGGCTAATCAGTGGCATTACATGCCAAAGCGTCTACTCTTTGAGTATTGTGGACATAATTCATACTTTCATTATCGGTAGTTTTCAAGTTGTGATATTTGACGCGCTAACCGAGCCATTGCCTTTTTCCTTTATTACTATTAATGTTCCAATAGAATTTCAAGAGTAGCCTTAAAAGTTGTGTGTATCACTTTTTGCCTTTTGGTTAAAAACATATCCCTCCTTACATCCAATCGATATGATTCTCAATACCCCTGTGAGAAGAATGCATATTTTATTTTTATCATGAGCAGTAAGATAGTGGAGTTTCAGGTACTCTATATTTGGTTATGTTCTTTAAAAAAAATATAGAACTAGTTTTCCACACAACTTGTGACTGTGAGTAGCCTCTTAAGAACATACATACATAGGAGGCTTTGATAAGTCGTTTATGTAGTGTAAACTGTAAAATGTAAAGTTTATATATTGTTTAAAATATATATATATATATATATTTTTTTTCAAAATTTCAAACCGATTCGAGTACATTGTTTAAAAAAAAGATATATAAAAAAACAACCCGATTTCACAAATTGTTTTCAAAATAACGAAGGCTGTTTTTCAAAGTATGTATTATTGTTTTGTTGAAAAAAAAACATAATACTTTTTTTGTAGCTCTATTTCCATAAATACATTGGAGAATATCAGAGAATTGAAGATACTGTGGAAAAAAAGGGGAAAATTCGAAGAAATCAGTAATTATAATCATAAAAATAAAAATAAAATCAGCACTTTTTCGTACAATTTAGGAGGCTATGACTATTTAGTATTTTGAGAAAATTGAATCTCCTGAGTTCAGACTCCAGAGTTCAGACCAAGTAAGGTAAATACATAATCCAAGTCTCCAACACAAAACACACAGCTTCACAAGTTCACTACACAAGAGACTCTAAGAGAGAAGCGAGAGACTGTGAGAGAGAGGAGAAGACAACAACTCCAAATTCACCAAAGTCCCAACTCCAAAGTGAGTCCAAAGTCCGAACTACTCCAAACTCATAAAATCCAAGAGACGTCGCCGCGAGTCCGCGACTGACGGATGGGCCATGCGGCCCGCGCCTTGGAGGATAGGCCTGCCCCGGGACCTGGGTCCTGGGTCCAACAGTCCAACAGTTACCCTGTCACTGACAAAACAGTTAACACTTTAACCTTGACATTTGACATTTTACAGTTGACACACAGATAAGATTGCCGCGAGAGATATTGCTGTCTGAACTCTGATAGTACTAAATAGAGCAAGAGTCGAGTGAGAGAGTCTTAACTCTTTAACTCTCAACTAACTCTAAAGTCTCGCGTTCTCAACTCTGTTTCACACAATAACACACTACACACAAAAGAGAGAAGACTGGAGAAAGAGACTCAGATTGATTAGAGAAGACCAGAAGAGTCAAGACTGTCAGACTTCAAGAGAGAGAGAATGATGTTTTTTTTAAATAATACATGTTTGAGCGACATAGAATTCTGCCTACATTTTTATATGAGCGAGATACTCCAAAAATCGTTATATTTTGTCTAACAGGGCTCTGGAAAGATTGAACTGCCAACAACTATTTATTTTATCTATTCGTTTCTACTTTTTGAGCAGTTTTTTTTTTCAGATACATTTTCAGCGAGAAAAGCTAAAATCGAAACTAGTATATTTATTATTATGTTTCTTCTCCAATCTCGATTCGTCAAGCCATAGTATGGATAACTGTTAGGGTTTAGAGACTAACACATATGCTACAATTAGCCCAGTAAGATACCGATAAATATTAGTGGATGGTTGAGTGAGTACTTTATATTTGTTTTTGTTAAAAATAATATTGCGTGTTTGTGAGTTGTGAGGCTGGGGCGCTGGGCCGCTGGGCTGCTGGGGGCCTGGGGCACGGGTCATGGGAGTATTTCAGAAATTTATAGCGACTCGCGTCCTCGGCAACCGTCAATCATCACGTCGTGTTCAAAAATATATATTTGGTATATTCAAGGTGCACAAGCAGCACAATTTCCACAATTCAAATGAACAGGAACAGAAATCACAATTACTAAATCTACAAAATGGGAACAGAGCAAGAAGTGATGCTGACGACTCAAACTTGGACACCAATATTAACTAGAGAAATAGATCAGCATGGGTTTAATATTCAGGAAGAACTCGGTAAGGGATGCTTCTCAACAGTGTACCGTGCTGTGCACATGAAATCGGGCAGGGATGTAGCCCTCAAAGTGATTGACAAAAACAAAGCAGACATGAAGATGGTCGACAACGAAGTGGAAGCACTAAGGCGTTTAAAAGGTTGCCCGAATGTGTGCGGGTTGTACGATGTATTCCAAACCGAGGTGGCGCACGTGTTGGTTCTACAATACTGTCCTGGTGGCAATTTGCACAACAGAATTGTTATGGGTGGTATGATCGATAAAGTGCAAGCGCTCAGATGGTTTATGCAATTACTAGTAGCCGTGGAGGCTTGTTACCGGGTAGGTGTCATAAACCGTGACGTAAAGAATGCAAATTGTCTCATCGACTCCCAAGGCAATTTATGTCTAACAGACTTTGGCCTAGCAATAATCACAAATAATCCATACCAAGAAGTATTGAATACCGCCACCGGATCCTTGGTATTCGCATCTCCGGAGGTCTTCTCAGCTAAGAAAGCGGCGTATAACGGACCTAAATCGGAGGTGTGGGCGTGTGCTGCTGTATTACACAGCATGCTCACAGGCACCCTTCCCTTTCCACATGCATCCTACTCAGCTAATTGGTCCAACTACGAACCGCCGCTGAATGTACCACTAATGTTTCAGGAGCTTTTGATCAGATGTTTTGCCTTCAATCCCCTCCACCGCCCCGATGTGACTGATATTCTAGATTCGAAATCTCTGTACCAAATCCTGACTAGAGCGGCAATGGCCACTATTATGCCTCGAGAGCAGTCCACGGTAGATATTACCAAGGTGTCTATTGGTTGTGGTCAACAGGTGTTGCAAGACTCGAAGAATCAACACCGGAAGCGCACAATGTCTTTGAAAACAGCTCCCAGCCGCCGGAGGGCAAACACCACTAATTTATATACACACACCGCAGCAGACTCGCATCGCATTGTATATGCTTGAAGGACATGGCACCTTCGATCCCGTGTCACTAGAACACGGGTTAAATAATTAGTAAATGAAAGTATCATATATAAAGCATCTCTCGACTCCATGTTCTATCCGTAATTTACTTTTGCCATTGACTGTCATGTAGACCTTCATACAACAAAGCAAGATGGCAAACTATTGTGAGAGAAATGATATTCAATAATTCTGCGAGTACTTGACTGCCATCTTGAGATAGTTTGACTTGTGCAGTAGTCATTGACTAGTCGAGTTTCGGCAACTATATGTTTGATAGCCCACCCTACTACCATGTGTATAAATCGCTTTGCACTAACCAATTCACGTAAGCAAACGACATCGGCGAAAAGAACCGAGTGTTTTTATCCATATCAAAGTGGCTGTAAAGGAGTAAAGTCCTTGGCGTTATATGCTAACTCAATTGTAAGTCGTGGTACATAGGGACTTGATCATGAAACGTATTACAGTTCGTCATAAACTTGTTGATCATCCGAATAAAAATTTGTGGCGCGGTACTTGTAGCGACTTTCGATACATACATAAATACATACATGCCTATATACATGCATCTATACATATATCTATATCTATA